ATGGCTGTAGAACCGGAAGTTAACGATGCACAACAAAAGTGGGGATATAATCGGATAGATCTCGTAAGAGGCAACAACTTTTGTTCAGGTCACAATGTCACCAAAGGTCAAAGTCACTAGATATGAGCCTTAATAGTTTTGACAATTACTGAAAACATAAAACCGGAAATAAAAAAAATACAAAGCCAAAATTCAAAAATCGGCTTCCCATGTTTTGTTAGCAATCGATTGTAGTTTACATAAACATCAAATTTACGCACATCCAATTTTACCCTGAGGCCCCATTTTGAGTTTTATAAAAATGAGTCATATCAAGATGGCGTCTTACACAATACTTCCGGGTCAAATTTTTTGATTCCAAAATTGTTATAGGGACAATTTTAACTAATTTCAAAAAGAATTTTTCAAATACCTACAAAATTCCAGAAGTTGAAATTTCAAGTTTAGAGGCGAATGACGTCAAAACCGGAAGTGATATCGAAATTTTGAAAATAGATTTTTGTCAGGAATCAAAATGCTTTTCTACTAATAAATTTTTAGACCGATTGAAATAAAATTGTGGAAGTTTAAAAAATGCTTTAAATAAAATCTCCAAAAGTTAGCGACAAAAGTCAAAATTTGAAATTTCTTAAATTGCTATCTTTTAGACATTAGTTCAAAGTAATGAACAAAACAAAAATTATGTTCAAAATAGATTCAGAATAATAGCAGGTATTGGAAAGACGTAATGAACAGTTAAAGTCCTACGTCATTTCCGGTTGGGCGAAGAATACAATTAAGAATACAAATCATTAAATCATTAGAAACACCAATTAATAAAACAGTTTGCTTAATTTGACACTAAGAAACTTATCTTTAAGGTAATGCCGATTTCTGCCAAAAAAGAAAAATTGCTAATTTACTTTGTTTATCTTCTATAAGGTCTGTATTTTCAATCCCATAACATGTTTTTCTTGAAAAATGTGTTTTTATATCATAATTTGATGTTTTTTTTCGAACGTAACCTGACATGAAATAAATTCTATTGCTTTATTTGAATAAATTGTGTCCATGGCCCTGGACGTGATAATCTTGACTACTAAATATTATGTATAGTTATATGCCATCACAGAAATATTCGACCAAAGAGAAATTTAAAGGAAAAAGACGGTGAAAATTTTCTGGGAATGTTATCAATAAAATAAAATTAAAACAAATGATGACCCTGACATGACACCTGAAGCAGACGAATTTTTCAGTGACATTGATGATAGTGTATTATCTGATAATAATACTGATAGAACCAGCTCTGGTGACAATGATGAACGATATTAGCTTGAGACCTCAAAATGGTAACAATGATAAGACTTGTTCCAGTGCAAGCAATAGTTAACAGTCATACAATATTTTATGACAATAAAATAAATTTAGAGAACAATGAACAATCAAATTCTGGATTCATCGTATTTAATTCAGACATTTTACAAAATTTAATTTCAAATCTTCTGTGCCCAGAATGTTGCTCTTATGGTGTAAAATCCAGGGTGAAGTGGAATGTTCCTACAGTCCTACGAAAAAATACTATTGGTCTAGTCCTCACATGGATGATGTTGCTGATCAAGCACAAAGCCCTTAATCTAAGAAACCCTTTGAAATAAATCTTAGTTTAGTTTTAGGATCCAAAGACATTGGAATTGGATGTCTCCCATTATCCAAATTTACTGCTGATGTTGGAATATTGGGTAGCATGCATAACAAAACTTAATAATGATAATTCCTATAAACTTAATAAAAAAACTGAAAAAGGTTGAGATGCACATTCTATTATTCGAGACATTGAGAGAGATTGTGGAATTGATGAAGACATGATAAATCTAGTAAGTCAGCTATGATGGATCTTGGCATACACGTGGATACACTTCAAATTATGGTATTGGATTTGTTATCCACATGATGTCAGGTCTCATCATAGATTACTACATATTGTCAAAATATTGTCACACTTGCAGTTTGCATGGGAACAGAACTAACTGGACCCGAGAAGGATTCAAAAACAAACCAAACTGTAAAAAAAATTTTGATGGATCTTCTGGATCAAGATCAATGATCACGGCTAAATAGGAAATAACAAACATGCATATTGAAATATTACAAGTGATAGAGTTGTTTGAAGAAAACGTGTAGAATCTTTTTCGATATTTCAGGGTTAAGATTTTGGCTAAAAGTCCAATGATTGAAATGAATAGAAGAACACCAAAGTCTAAGAAATCCCCAGTATCAGCAGGTAAATACATTTAAGGTTGCCTATACTGTTAGATTTAGCAAAATGAATATCATAAGGACAAGGTCCTGCTATTTTATGTCTACTTTAAAAACATATTATTCTTATGTTCAAATTTTCCTCTTGGTAAGTCTACCTAATGTTGAAGATCAGGGCTGATATGGTATTTAGGTTGGAACAACAGAGGTGGCTTCATGTTCTATAACCTAATGATACATATAATAGAAAACATTGGTTTATTTGAAAAATTTCATTTGTTGTTGCGTGTCAACTTAAAAAAAAAATAGCTGGTTTGTTAAATGGCATTATGTCTAGCTTCATGCTTTTTCTGTGAGCAATTGGTTGCTTTTTATGATAAATTTGGTTGCAAGCAGATTTTTTATAAATGTTTTATTTCTTTTTACTAGAAAATAAAATTGAACAGCCAAATTTTGATGATGTAGATGAAATATTGAACAACTCGTTACAAGATGAACCAGATAGTACAACTACAAGTGAGACAGAAATAGTTCATAGTGCTAGTGAGGACACACCTACATCACTTTCCACCAGAGCTAATGGTGACACAACTGACAATACAAAGCTGGATGTTGCTCCTGAAGTAAATGTTTGTTCAACCAAGACAGAGGAGCAAAATGGCAATGATGATGGCAGTAAAGCTGCTACAGGATCTGAAGACAGTACTGGCCCAATTGAAGTAGATCCTCAGAGTTCTGAAGGTATAAATTCTTTTTATTGACATTTTTAAGCAAAAGTTTTCTTTTAATAAAAAGTCTTTTTCAGTACTTTGATATTGATTATATATATATATACAGTATGGGAATAACCAATATTATCTTGTCTGTAAATGAACTTATGTTATTCCTAAATAATTAATTCAAAACATTTCAATTGTTACGTATAACTATCAGATTGTGCTATATTTTAGACATTACAGCAGTAGAAGATACTGGTAAACACGATGTCAAATATTTCCGCAATTTAACCAAATCAGAAAGTTCTAAGTTATCAACATCCAACATTGAGTGGAATACATATCTACAACAAAATAAAAACTTAACAGAGGAAGGTGAGTTGAACATTTTGGGTAGTCCCTTTCCTTAAAGTCTTGATTGGGAAATTGTTCTGTACCACAAGATCCATACTTTTAAAGCTTGTTTGTGTTAATGTTTTTTTCATGAATAGTTATGTCATTTCTGATGTATTGCAGAGTCAGAAGTAAAAACAATAGATGTTTTCAAGTTAACTATTTATATAATATAATTACAGTTGAGGGCAGTATAAGAACAGTTGTAGGTCAATCTCAGCTTCTTATGGATCAAAGGTTTAAACAGTTCACTGGTTTAATAGATAATTGTGAATTTAACACTGGAGAGAAAGAGACTAAATGTGAAGATTTACAAGGTTTCTGGGATATGATATATTATCAGGTTAGTAAAATCTCCCGTTCTTAAGTCTAGTAATTGAATTTTTTTTATTCGTCAGGGTCTTTATTCCTAACAGGTTTTATTGATGAAACATTTTGAAAGTTTATTGCTATCTTCTCAGGTAGAAGATGTACATAAGAAATTTGAAGATTTAGGACAACGTAAAGATAAAAACTGGATATTAGAAGAGAAAAAACTGGTGAAGAAAGTGCTGAAGGTATTATATTTATGGCCCTTTTTTTAAAATTGTATATGAAGGATTGTACTGGTCCTTTGAACACCACAAAATGTGAAGTAATTTTATGCTACTCACATTACAGTTACCCATATTCATAGTACCCTTCTTCAACAAGTTAAGCCTCCCTAAAACTAACGTTGAAATATATAACTAGTGTTAAATTTTTTTTAGAAAAAGGTCACCAAGACTGCCAAGCCAGCAGCTAAGTCGAAATTTGCAGCATTCCGTGCTGAAATGATGAAAAACAAGGAAGCAGAAGGCACAAGCAAAAAACTAAGTCCACAAATGGCTACAGTTAAAACATTTGATGCTGGTTTCTTTAAAGTTAATAGCCCCGTGAAGAAATCATCTCATTTCCATTGTGAAGGTAAGTAATCATATTCTAAATTGTTTGAATTGAAAGGCATCACTGAGATTAAAGTTTTCATTCAAGTTAGTCCTGTTTTGGTCTATGCTACCATATTGTGTGACGATGACTTTATGTTTTTAAATTGATAATTCTTCAGGTGGTACTCCAAGAAAATCCAAACCACATACTCAGGACAAAACATGTGATAGACATGATCAGAAAGATGACACAGAACAAATGGACACTGAAGAATCTAAAACTGTTGAAAAAGAAGACCAAAAATCTACAGAAAACCAAGCATTTGAAAACAATGAAACAAATGGTGGTGCTACTGTTCAAAATGATGACACAACTGAATCAAAATCTGAAAATTCTAAAAGACTGCCCCTTTCTGTATTGACACCTAGTGGTCATAATGTCAGAACTCCTCGCCGAAAGAGTTACGCTCCAAATGTGCCTAGTCCACTACTTCAGGATATCACACCTAAACCTAAAACCAGACGCAGCCTGGCAGCAAATATGGCTGCACAAGCAATTGATGCCATTGATGTGTGTCCTCTAACATCAAGTGATACATTCATGACAACTCCTAAATCTACTGGTAGATCAAAACTAGGAACACCTAAAGTTACAGAAGATGCTACTCCCAGAAGGTCAGTACAAATTTGTTAGTTAAAAATAGACACTACATCCTCATATCAAGATTTATGTTACGGCCACTCCTTAAGCAGCAATTTCTTGTCCTCCCAATTAATGTGGCTTAATATAGTTATACAAAAAAAATTTGAAATGATGTTAAACCCTCTGCCTGTTTGTGTAAATAAAGACGGTATGCTAAATTCAATGTCTAGTTTTATCAACTATTTTTTCAGAAGAAGTCTTCGTGTTAGAAAGTCAGTATGTTTCAATGAAACACCATCAAATAAAACAGAACCTATCATTGAAACTGATGATTTATCATTGTTCTTACAACCTACTGTTCATTTATCCTCACCAGTCACTGATAATACTTTACTATTAGATGAAGATTCCCCTTTTACATTGAAACATTTTGAAGAAGCCCTTTCTGCAAAGAAATCAACAAGAGGTAGGTAAAACTTGCTAAACTTCCACTGTTGTTTCAGATATGTTGCATAAATATATATATATTCTTTAAAAAAAAAAGATTCAAGTGCAGATCCTCTGCTGTAGATAATATTATGGACACAAATGATGAGACTTTAGAAGATAGGGCCTCTTTGAAACTTAAGTTTTTTTTGAAATCATACTTAAAAGATATGTATTATGTTTATTTTCTTAATTCAGCATCCTCAAGAAGGAAATCAACCAAAAGAAGTCCATCTGATGAGAAAAGAAGAAGATCAACACGTAGAAGTGTTCATTTTGATAAATCACCTGCATGTACAGAAGGTTTGTTTCATTAGTTCTATCAGGTTTCATATAGTGTTTAAAAATGCATTGATTTTTAAAAGTATTATGATTAAAGATGCAATCTCATATATAAGACTTAAAAGTTCTAATTCTTTATGCTGGAATATTTAATTTAAATATTGTGCAGTAGTTTACATTTTATACAACAACAAAAAATCAAAATATGACACTGACATACAACTTCTTAGTATTAATTCTGTGTGTTGTTTTTTTGTAGTAAAACCAAAAGTAGATGATTTATTATTTACACCACCAAAACAACAAACATTTTCTACACCTACCAGTAAATCTGTAAGTATTTACTATCAGGTATTAGATATTAATGAAAATTGTTATAATACTGTTCACATCAAGGAAAAAATTGTTAGCCTAATATATGAAAATGCCCTGATAAACAGTGATGTATCCTTAAACGCAATGTGGATGTGTGACACTAAACTGGCCTTGAATGTCTTTGAATTTATCTCCCTTCATTTGGAAATTTTGGTCTTTTTTTTTTAAAAGGTTGATATTTTTAGAAATACCCTGAATTAGTGTGTTTGGCAAGTTCCCACTGATTTTTTTTTTATGTTTTCCAGAGACCAAGTTTACTTTTTACACCACCAGGAAAGGAAAATATGTCAATAGATACAGACAACCTGATATCTTTTACTCCTTAATTTCTGTATGTAGTAACTATAGTGATTTGATATAGAGTGCTTTATTCTCATATTTCTTCTATATTTCATTCTGTCATGTTTGTACTTTATTTGTTGTTTATACTGTGGTTAAAATGTACAATAACCACAACATAAGTTTTGTGAATGCCATAGTTTTATATCTTTATGTCATACAACTGCTGTGAAATTATTTATTTTTGTGGGCACCAAATTTCAAGAATTGACTGCTCCTGATATTTTGAGCCTCCTTGAAAGATAATAATTTTACATGATATCATAATCATAAAAAAATGTTGACATCATAATAATTTCATAACCTTATATACATCTATCATTGTGTTTTTATTATTCTACCTTTCCTGTGTCTTCTATCATTTCAATTGCATTCTTTGGTCTATTTGATGATTTACAAATTTAATGAGACTAAAGCCTTTACTAGTATTATAGGCATGATAAAGAACCAAGATGCATTTTAGTAGTCATTATAATATTGCCTATATGCATGGTTTGTATTTATGTTCATCATTAATTAAATTCTTTCATCAAACTGCACCAAGTCATTTTTTCCCAATATCCTTTAAGACCCTTGAAAATTTGGTTGCTTTGATATACATATTTTCTTATAGTTAATCAATCTGTTTTGATGTGATTTCTAGAACAGATGAATGTTATAGCCAATGTTATCAAAATTATTACATAGTTCAAACAATTTACTAATACTTATTTGTATAAAAAACACTATTTTTGGTCATACTTTTTACGATTTTGGCAACCATATAGTTCTGTCTGGATGTGTTTCTTGATGTCCCTATGCCCACTGGTAAAATTTTGATTGGGTATTCAAGACTTAGACAAAGAATTTGAATCTATGATTGCAGACAATTCCCCTTCTAGATCATACCTGACCACAGTAAGTCAAATAAACCATATATTTACAAATAACTTTATTTTCACAGCCACACTCACTTCAGTTTACACAATACATTGGACAAAACTTGTTAACATATTATCAATAGAACAATAGAGGCAAAGTTTATATGTGATAAAAAAAGAAAGAAATAACAAATTGACATATGGTCCTCTAATTTTGTGCTCTGTATAAACCTGAAGTCAAGCTTTAAAAAAAAAAATGCAATATAAGAACATTTTTGTTTCTAATAACTGACCAGACTTTTTATTATTGTACATAAGGTTATATGCTTGTGCAGCTGACACATGTTCGGAAATTGAATTCTCTCTCTCTCTGTGTAATTAACATGTATTGCCTAATAACAACTTTTTAAAACTATTTAAGTATAAAAATCAATACCAGATTTGTGAATGAATGATAAAGACAGATAGCTGGAAATAGAGACCAATATTTACATTACAATGAGCCACGTGTAGACCAATGCCTAGCATATGTGATTTTATTAGAAAATTAATATATTTACTTAAACCATAACAATTTAGCACTATAATATTTACAATTTAATCAATGTCCTGAACAAAAAAAATCTAACAACACAATGCACTAATAAATACACCCAATCAATGCTCTCAGCTTAACATATATTGCATGAGATAGTTGAGTCTAGGCTTTCACCCCTTCTACCTATGATGAAATGATCATAGCGGAAATAAATGAAGAAATACAGTAACTGTAAAATGAAGCAATGATAAATTGCTTTAAAAGACTTAACACAATCATACCTTACTTACTGTAACAAGATCTTCACACGAAACATATTGATTTTTCTCTCTTAAGATAAAAGGCAATCTAGCCTGATCATTACAGCCATACACTACTCAGCCTTTATTTCAAACTAGTGAAGTAGGATGGGTTCTAGTACCATCACACTTGACAAACAATATTTATACACAATCATAACATGGTGGGAGCTTTTATTCATCACAGGTAAATATCATAATGATGCCTTGTTTGAGAGTGGATTTATATAAAGTAAGCATTATTGCTACAATATGTAGAATACATTGTTAATCATGGTCCACAATTGCATTGAAAACATAACCTGAGATTTTTCAGTTTTAAGTATATTGATATTATTGCTGTAGAATGTGACACAGATCCTAGTAGGTCATGAATACTCAATGAATTAGATTCAAATATTAGCCTTATGGAAACTCAGTATACCGAGTCTTTTTCATCAACCAAAAATTACCATGATAAATAAAAGCTCCAAACACAGAAGCTTTTTCAAGAAAATAATAAAGATAAAGTTAAATCACAGTTTTAAAAAGAAGAAGACTTAGTTGATATTATCTCATATCCAATGTCAACTATCACAATAATTCCCATAACAACATAACATTCTAGGCTGGAGTTGTTGATGTACAGATGCATGTCTTCAACCATCCATTATTTCATAATCCATCAAACTGAATCATCTATAAATTTAAATACATCCATTTGGTATTATATCCCTGACTTTCATATCAATATATATGTTGAGTTTTGAAGACCGTCTGAAAGAATGTTGAGTTGACAATTCCAGTCACACCCACAAACTGTTTATTACCAGGCAAGGTAACATACTGTACTCCAGGTTAATAAATTTAATAACATGTTTCATGTTAGAAATATTTTCTTCAAGCATTGATTTTGTTAAATGTGCATAAACTGCCAAAACTTGATAAAACCTCCAACTAATACAAATATAAGTTAAGCTTACCATGATACCACCATCTTGTTTTCTTGGGATTTTTACTACAAGTTTTAACATACAGTGCATTGTCTGGTGGACGTTTCTACAAAAAATGGAAATGGAAAATATGCATGTTTATAAGTGATTCAACCCTTACTTAAGTGACTTTATCGACTTCATATAGCAATGGTCATCAAGTTAATGTGCATTGACTTTTACATGGAAAATATAAGCTGCATGAAGTTTTTTACGGTTTTTATCTGCTATTGTTGAAAGTTCTGACAAACATGAAGCTTTTTATACGCCCACATTACAAATAGCTTGTGAGCGTTATAGGCACTACAGTTTTTATCTGATTTGAATAGAATTTGGTGTGATCATTTATATTGATGAGATCAAGGAAAACTTCGAATTTGGCTATCTTTTTAAAATGGTTTTTGAGTTATTGCTCTTGACAATAAGAGTTTTAAATGAAATTTGGTATGAATATTTATAATGATGAGACCTTGGCCAAGTTCGAATTTGGCTATGTTATGATGAACAGTTTTTTAATTATTGCCCTTGACTTAGGAAAAATGTGTGAACAAAATAGAGACCATAGTTTTCATCCGATTTAAATTAAATTTGGGGTGATCATTTATAATGATGAGATCCAAGTCAAATTTGAATTTCACAATTTTTTGATCAACAGAATTTGAGAACTTGACTTAGTAAAAACGCATCAAAATTTTTTGGCGATAGAGGTGACAGTTTATATCAGAATGTTATTAAATAATGTATGTTTGTTTAAATCAACAATATCAATATCACAAATTAGATTTTTGGTATGATTTGACACAGATAGGTGACTGCCCTTGATATATTGAAAATGTATCAGGAAAGTGTGTGTATCTTGCTAGGCAACCACTTGTTTAATAATGATTATAATAAGGATTATGTATACAGGACTGAGTTTTGATACAGTGGCTCATTTGTGCCATCTGAGACAAGTCCCTTTAGTAACATACCATATAACTCACCTTTTCTTTGCAACTAGATAACATACTAACAACAGATAAACAAACAGATTGTACTGACAGAGCAGGTGACCAATCATCAGTTAATATTGAAAGACAAATATGACCATTACTATAAACATGGGGATGAAGTGGAATATTAGGTCCTATAAACATCACCTGAAAATGTTACACATAATGTTTTTCATAATATTAGACAATATTTAAAGATGCCCTCACACCATAGCCATCACCAGTTGTGTGTGGTTGTGAATAAGAATAGCGGTCAACAGTTTCAGAACTCATGACCAGTCATTATTCGCAACCATATGCAACTGGTAATAACGCTATGGTATGTCTTATTGTTTTTATTTCCAGTTACTACACTTGTCACAAGAGGAAAAACAAGAAACAAAATATCCTGACATGCAGTTACATCATATTGTCATTTTTTGAGCTTTAACAGTTAAAAACAATGGTGTCTCTTTTTAATAAGTGTTAATAATGTTAACAATTACCTGGGGTGAATCAAATGGATATCTTGAACCAAATTTAAATTGCAATTGAAACCTTTCACCTTCAAACACAGTTCCTTGAGCACCTTCTATATCAACAGTCCATCTAAAGATAAACATATTGTCAGTAAATGTTAGTCCACACAATATTTTAGGTTCCATAATGGCATCAGTTGTAAGATTTCTCCCATAGAACATCAATCTACAGATTTCCGTTTACGTTTGATGTGAAGTCTTTTCTGATTAACAAAACACTAGACTTCAATTTCTTAAAACTATATCTAAAAATCCAATTTCAAAAACATTTATGACACTTCTTTACTTAAAAAAAACTGATATGGTACTTACTCTGATAATTTTTTTGTGATTTCATCTGTATTCACCTTAACACCAACTGGTGGATCTTTTGTTAAGGCCAATAATTCCTTTTGCAACCTTTTCTAAATAATAATGAAAAAAAACAATGTAGAACAACCACAATTATTTTGTAGAACAATTATTTTACAAATATTCAATAAAAATTTCAATGTATCTCAAAATACCAAGAACGTCTTTGTTGAGTTCATATAATCTAAATATAAGGATGGGGATTTTGCAGTGTCTTGGTTTCGCCGACATCCTCCGAACCTCCGCCACTTCGACAAGTCATTTTGAGTCTTGATATTCGCGAATTGGAAATCACATTTACTTGATGCTTGCTGCAATAAAAAATAGGAATGTTATTATGTATGATAAAATGAAACAATAAATAATCGTTTTTCAACATGAAATTTTGTGACATTAATTATCGTATGCATTAAGAAAGCATATTTTAGCCACCCCACTGTGTCGAGTTTAATTGTGAATTAAAGTAAAGCGCCATGTTATTTCTTTTAAAATTTTAGACCTTCTGTTTTTGAAATATGAATTCACAATTGTCAGAAATACTGTTGTGGCATAGGTAGGCAATCGAATTTTTCCTCGCAGGTTAATTCTGTCTTATTTAAGAGAGACATACTGGTTGTAGGCCTACTGAAAACTTTTTGTCAATGACAGGAAGTCATGTTACGGAACTATAACTCTCACCACACTAATTCTGCTCCGTGCTCCTTGAGGTAAATATAGTCCGAAACAAACTAGGCTAGGCCTACCTCATAGCCTACCCAATCTGACAATTTTAGACTAGCGTAGAGGCAGAAAATCTAGATGCTCCTGTTTTATTGCCATTTTACAATACACAAAATTCGAGGAAATTTAAATTTAGGCCCTTTTATTTTTAATCCAACCTGTACAGATCTATTTTAAGATTTAACTGTTTTTTTATCAGTTTTGTGTGTGAAATATTTACATAATATATTTTATACCACTTGACTGACATTGAAAACGAGTGTCTATAAAATGTAGAAATCGGTGCGATTTTACGATTCTGCGAAATATGAATCCAAGATTTCAATGGTAGCAAAGACCGAGTTGAAAATTGATATTTCAAAAACAAAAGGTCGAAAATTTAAAAAGAAATAACACGGCGCACTTACTTTAATTCACAATTAAACTTGACACAGTGGGGTGGCTGAAATATGCTTTCTTAACGCATACGATAATTATAGTCACAAAATTTCATGTTGAAAAATAAAAAGATTATTTATTGTTTCGTTTCATCATACATTCCAATTTTTTTTTGCAGCAAACGTCAAGAAAACGTGTTTTCCAATTCGCGAATATCAAGACTCAAAATGACTTGTCAGAGAGGCGGAGGAGTCAGAGGATTTCGGAGAAATCAAGACACAGGGGATTTTTCATTTATAACAAACAACTTGCATGCTGAAAGTTGTAGGTGACTTAGCTAATTTAGAGTCATCGTAAAGGTAATTTAATATCATCTTAGCAAAAACAAATCTTCAGAGGTGTGAAAAACCCATTTAACAGGGCCTATTTTTTTCTGACACTACTCCAACTGACAACAATGTCAAAATATCCATCAGATGACTGATGAGGCTAATATTTTGGACTACAATTCTCCCAAAAATATTTTGAAAATCTCAACAGACTGAGTTTTTTCTACTGTACTGGCCATTTTTTCTCATTGTTTACTTAATGTCATTATCTTCATCCGCCAAATCAGGCGCAAGATGAAGGAAGTGAAACTCTAAATTCATTCCACTTATGAATCTACGAGCAATTTATTTCCTGACTATAAAGCACATAAAATAGACCGTTATTCCATTAATTCGACAAACCAATTGTGCAGTTCGAACATTTCTAACTATGCAAACAACAGTACATTTCTATCACATATGATATATGCGAGAGCATGGAATAATTTTGACATTTCAAATGAATAGGTAAAATTCCAACCTCCATCGACGCCATATTTGATAGTGAAGTTTGTTTTGGAATAGTTTCGTACAATATATACTCATATACTTTGTATGTGCAAAAGTATACATAGCGCTATAAAACCCATAAAGTTTGTTGTTTGAAATAACAAAACTTTTAGACTTGACAATGAAATGTAAATTTTTCGATTTGTTAAATTGGAATTTTTTTTTCTTGTTTCGTATTTTCTTCATTAGCTTCACATAACGTTACAATAATAGTCTCCAACATCCAGCATAATTATTACGTGTCATGAACAAAAAACTGCAGAAAGATAAAAAAAAAAAAAGAAAAAAAAGGTTAATTGGTTTTCTCTTCAATAACAAGATTGGTTATTGTTGTAACGTTATAATTTTCGACTGATGCAATGAAAAGCATGGCTCCAGTAAATGTTAGGCTAAACCCTACAGGATTTGTGTTGAGTATTGTGCTATTGGTGTGCATTGCTTTGTATGCATTTGGTTTACCATCATGGTTAGGTAGAAAGGAAGAAAGGATTAGTATGAAAGAATTGCTATCAGTTAGTATCGAATTGGCAAGACGAGGTGGAGTCAAAGTGAAAGCTGTAGCTGAGTCTCACAAGTTAAAAGCAGAAGTTAAATCAAGGACAGAGGAGGGCGCCAAAGAGATGAGGACAGATGGTGATATGGAATCACATAGAGAGCTGATTCATGGTTTTGCAAAAGCTTATCCAGCAATGAAGGTATATAATAATTATCAGCTCTTAGTAAAATCAGTAAACATTTAAATGATTTTGATGGCTTTAAAATCATTTATAGTATGGTCATTTAAATATTTGCTTTGTAATTAACAAAAAGCTACCAGTAGCCTACTATGTCGTCAATTCCCCAATGCTGTTATGAGCATTCTTAGGTGTAGTTATAACTGATGAAGTCATGATATCAGTAATATCTACACACAAGAATGTTATGTTAATAACATGTGTAAACTTATACAATATAACAGAATATCATACAATAGTGCAAACCATACCATAATATAATGTTTTTTACAAAATTGGAGAAGAGAAACAGATATCATATTTCTTTCTAATCTGTTACAGGTGATATCTGAAGAGCATGACCGAACACCAGTTGATTTGAGTACAGTAGCTAGTGTAAATAAACATTTAAATGAAGTGAGGGAGGTTGTAGAAAGTGATCAGTCAATACCTATTAGTCAAATAACAATCTGGGTTGATCCTTTAGATGCTACTAAGGAATATACAGGTAAGACTGGAAAAGTGGAAGAAATAAAAACATAAGGAAAAATTTATGTATTTCACAAATGTAGGATGACATTTATGGAATGTAGATGAGATGTAATTGTTTTGATATGTAATCTTATTAATATGTATTTTACCAGTTGTAATTATCAGATGTGGATATGCCCCCAGGTAACATACCAAGGACCACAATTTCACATAAGCTTACGGTTAAAACTGATTGAAATCATAATGTGGAATATAAATGCACTTGAGAATGCAGATAACAGACTTGAAGCGATAGCAGTCTAAACATCTACTATACATTTTTTTGAATTGTTGCAGAACTGTAATTTTGAACAAAAAGGATACAGATAGCAATTGAGTTGCCATATTAGGCTGTAGACTTAGGTATGGGTCAAACTCATGTTTTTTAAAGTTTTTGTGTCAATTTTAGAAAACTTAAAGGAGTATGTGACTACTATGGTGTGTGTTGCAGTAAAGGGACAACCTGTAATAGGTGTTATACATAAGCCTTTTGAGGACAGTACAGGTTAGTTTGCTTGACTTTTCTGACATAGATTAGAGTCTTACTGATTTTTTTCCTTGACATGTTTTATATTGAAATCATGAGCTCTTGTTTAGAGTAAGAAAAGCAGCCCACTGTGGCTCTTACTTCATGGCATTGCCATATTTTTTTTTTAGTCCAAACCATTTTATTTTCAATTTATATTTTGTTATGATTTGTTACTTAATTTTCTATCAATAGCTTGGGCCTGGGTAGGCTATGGTCATTCCAAAAATTTACAGAAAGCAGATCGTGATACAAGAAATCAAAATAAAAAGATAATAGTGTCTATGTCACATACCGGTACTGTTGCTGAAGTAGCTAAACAAGCATTTGGACTAGATACAACAATAACTCGTGCTGGAGGCGCAGGTAAGTTTCAAAATGCCATGAAAATATGTGCTGAGAAATATCAGACTATCGTGGGTGGCCCAAATCAAACAATGAATGATTTTTCAAGTTATAAAGCTAAGACCACAATATTTTGATCTCATATTTACATGGTTATTTGTTTAGTCTTTATACCAAATGACAGCTTAAATCAGTAGAACCATTTTGTAATTAAATATAAGTATTCTTAAATTCTGTACATTGCAAAATACGAGATCAGCAGTAAATATTGTAATTTCCTGAACATCTTTGATTTATTGTGAATTTAATAATGGTCAATGTGGCCACCAATTTCAGCATAAATAAGACTTTTACCATTACAAAATTACATTAAGATAAACTACTGTCCAAAAGAAACGATACCACCTGTTTGCAACGACATAAAAGAAAAACTAAACAATGCAGAAGTTTAGGATTGGTGTTATGCTTTTGAGAAATCCTTTCACAACATCTGTACAAAAATTTCATTTCAATAAAATCTGTACAACCAATATGACAAGCCTTTAAAGATGGGTGGGGTCGAAAAAAAGAACATTTCGTTAGAGCACTGATCACAGAAACAACGGGAAATGTCACACCACACGTCACAAAGTCAAGTCAGTAGCGGGTATGTCCACCGTGAGCATCATTACATGCCAGAACACGCCTACGGACTGATGCCGTCAAACGTCTGATGACGTTGGGAGTGATGCGTTGCCATTCCTCGAGGAGACATCGTTCCAAGTCCTGGACGTTGACTGGGGGCACACGGCGACGTCGGATTTGCCGATCGAGGTGGTCCTATAAGTGCTCGATGGGATTCATGTCCGGTGAACATGCGGGCCGCCATGGCAAAACCTGTACGTTGGCGTTGGCAAGGAAGTTCTGTGTCAATCTTACTGTGTGTGGCCTTGCATTGTCATGTTGGAAAAAGAGTCCACGAGGCTGTTGCTGAATAAAGGGCACCACAACAGGCCGTAGGATGTCATCAATATAACACTGTGCATTCAGGTTTCCACGAATTACGACAAGCCTCGTTTTGACGTCACCACATATGCCACCCCAAAGCATTAACCCTCCACCTCCAAACGGCCGGACCTGTTGGATACAGTTAGGCGCCAAACGTTCACCAAATCGTTGGTATACAAGCTGCCGTCCATCGTTTTTGAAGATGAGGAATCTGCTCTCATCAGAGAACATAACATGTGCCCAGTCCCGCCGTTGCCAACGTCGAACTCGCCTGGCCCAGATCAGTCTGTTGTTCCGGTGTCGAGGCGTCAGGAGCGGTCCGCAGTAGGGATGACGTGGCCGGATACCATACTGCCGTAGTCTCCTGTAGACGGTCTGTCGACTGATCCTGTGTCCCAGTGCTGTAGCCGCCGTGGACGTCGCTGTTACAGTGCGGTTCCTCAGGTGTAATACCCGGATGTAACGATCTTCACGGGGCATGGTTACTCGTGGTCTTCCACTCCTGGTGATAGTGATGCGTGCGCAGCCCAATCTTCTGGCAAACGTCGACGTGTGTCGGTCCTTGTTGGACCATTCCAACGGCTCTCTCTCTCTCGATGGCTGTCAAACGTGTCATATCTTGTGTTCTTTTTGTTGCTGTGATATCAACGTGTCTGATCAGCCGTTTTATACAGTTTTTATGCACGTGCAGAACATACTAGACAGGGAAATGTCACTTTCACGAAATTTACGTTTTTTCCCGGAAGTGATCATGTGTTCCCGGTATTTTTATCGACTATGCTGTGTTTGGGATGTGCAATACGAATTGGCATGTTTTCATATTCACTTAGTAAAAAACAATTTTGAAAATAAGTTGGTATCGTTTCTTTTGGACACTAGTTTATATTCATCCTCTTATTCTGTGCTTCAAATCCTTTTCTTTTAAGACATTTCAGCTCACTTGAGGAAGGTAGCTTAAAATTTAAGTTCCCGTTAGTGAATGAAAGAATTTTTATATGCCCACATGGAAATGTGGACGTTTATTGCCATCGCCCTGTCCATCCGTCCGTCGGTCCGTTCACATTTGTTGTATGCATGTTAGAGGCTACAGCTTTTATCTGATCTTGATGAAGCTTGGTATGCTTGTATATATTGAATAGATCTGGATCAAGTCCAAAATTTGTAATAATCGGATGAAATGTTTCAGATTTATTGCCCTTGACTCAATAAAATACGTTAAATTTGGCTTGTGTGCACGATTAAGGCTGCACTTTTTATCCGATCTTGATGCATGTATATATTGATAAGATCCCAGTCAAGTTCAAAATTGGTTCTAATCTGATGAATGGTTTTAGAGTTATTGCCCTTGACTTTGTAAAAACGCATTAAATTTGGCTTGTATGCACGATAAAGGCTGCAATTTTTATCCGATCTTGATGAAACTTAGTATGCATGTATATATTGATAATATCTTTGTCAAGTTCGAAATTGGTAATAATCGGATGAACGGTCTCAGAATTATTGCCCTTGACATAGCAAAAATGCGTTAAATTTGCCTTGTATGTCTGATGAAGGCTACAATTTTGATCCCATCCTGATGAAACTTGGTATGCATGTATATATTGAGAGATTTTGGTCAAGTTCGAAATTAGTTATAATTGGATGAATGATTTCAGGGTTATTGCCCTTTACTTAGTAAAAACACATCAAATTTGGCTTGTAGGCCTGATGGAGACTACATTTTTTATATGATTTGATGAAACTTGGTATGAGATCTCAGTAAAACTTGAAATTAGTAAAAATCGGATGATTGGTTTCACATATTAAACTACTACACACTTTGTTATCATTTCTGACAGCTGGTAGTTGGCGTATGTTACCTTGCCTGGCAAGCTATCTTAACTGAAGTTATCATGATTTCTCATTTTAGGATACAAGACTTTAGAAGTTATAAAAGGAAATGCTCATGCTTATGTTCACTCGACACACATCAAGAAATGGGACATTTGTGCTGGTAATGCCATTCTGAGTGCAGTGGATGGGAAAATGACCACATTAAATGGAGACTATATTGACTATTCCTTCAATAGTGAGCGCAAAGTGAAAACTGGTTTACTGGCTACCATATATGACCACAATGACTATTTAGAAAAATTACAACCTATTACTAAAAAAGAGGTTAAAGTAGAACTGAGCAATATTGGTTCAAGGTGATATATTTATTATTAATAAACATTTGTCAAAGTGTAATAAGGTATTTAAATTATAAGGAATCTAATGTGTTATGTAAGGTATTGCAATTTGTGATAAATTTTATTTTATGTTCTTAGATTTTCCAGTGAACAAAAGTGTTAGGAATTATATCTTATTTCTACAAGAGCAATTTTGAACTGAATGATAATTGTCTGCAATGTTTATGAAAGTTAATTTGCCCTCATGTTAAAGGTTGCGCCAATGTTCATTCAGTTTTTTTGGGTGTTTGTTAACTGATTTTGAGTTCTTTGAAATTGAACTTCCTTTATCATTGATTTTTCTACAGTGGGCTAATCTAGACGTAATGTTTATTTGGGCACTGTAATTTATTCCACAGTGTCTCTAAATTTTAACAAAAAGAAAGCTCTAAATTTTGTGATCAGTGAAAATTATTATGCAACATGAACCACACATGATAAGCTTTTGAAAAACTAATTTGAATACTTTTTTTATACGCCCACATTATAATGTGGACGTATATTGTCGTCACCCATATCCGTCGGTCCGTCTGTCCATAGTTGGCTTGTGAACGCGATAGAGACTGTAGTTTTCATCTGATTCGAATGAAATTTGGTGTGATCATTTATATTGATGAGATCTTGGACAAGTTCGAATTTGACTATATTTCGATGAACGTTTTTTTAGTTATTGCCCTTGACTTATAAAAAACGCGTCAAAATTTGGTTGTGAACACAATAGAGACTACAGTTTTTATCCAATTTCAATGAAATTTGGTTTGAATATATATAATGATGAGATCTTGGACAAGTTCGAATTTGGTTATCTTTCGATAAACGGTATTTGAGTTATTGCCCTTGACTTATGAAAAATGTGTCAAAATTTGTTTGTGAAAACAATAGAGACTACAGTTTTCCTCCAATTTCAAGGAAATTAAGTGTGAATATTTATTACGATGAGATCGTGGACAATTTCGAATTTGGCTATCTTTTGATGAATGGTTTTTGAGTTATTGCCCTTGATTTATGAAAAACTTGTCAAAATTTGTTTGCGAACACAATAGAGACTACAGTTTTAATCTGATTTAAATGAAATTTGGTGTGATCATTTATAATGATGAGATCTTAGTCAAGGTTAAATTTGACAATTTTTCGATCCACGGAATTTGAGTTATTGCCCATGACTTAGTAAAAACGCATCAAAATTTCTTAGCGATAGAGGTGACAGTTTATGTCAGAATTTTATTAAATAATGTATGTTTGTTTAAATCAACAATATCTTGCACAAATTATATTTTTGGTATACTTGATATACTGAAAATGTATCAGGAAAATGGGCGTATCTTTCTAGGCAACCACTTGTTTTAGTTGAAATATATTTCATCTAATTTAGTTTTGAAACCCTAACATTATATTGAAATCCTGTCTTTTTATGTTTTAGCCAATGACAGGCTTGATTCTTTATTTTTGCATGTTATTACAGTCAAGTGACCTAATTTCGTGGAAACCTATTATTCGTGGATTTCCGGAAAGGATTAATAATTTACATGAGCGACCTTGCGCGACCTCCACATTTGCTTGTTTTGATAAACATGGGTTTTCTCTACAATATCAGCTAGTAGAATGAATCCAGTAGTTTCAAGCAAGGTAAAATGTATTAATGTATACTTTGACAAATACAAAATGGCGGATTTCACTTATTACCAAACATCACCATTTTTTGACGGCCGAATTTCCTTATAATCCCAAGCGGTAATCGGAATTCCAACTGTCGTCTGCTAGAATATATTCCAACAAATGAGGTCACATGATCAACTAGCAGATTCCGTGTCAGCAGAAAATTTCTATGAAACACAAAGTGGGCCATATTCTTATGTTGTTTCAGTGACTTTTAGCAATAAATCACGCTACATATTTTATTTTGTCAGTCGCTATTTTTTTTTGTAAATCTTGGTTCTTTGAAGGAATTGTCACTAGTTATAATGAATTGATATTAAAGATAAATACTAAGAGAAGTTACTTATATCACCCAGCATCTATACAACGTGTGTTTCTAGATCAAACATTGCACACGAAAATAGGTGAGGCATTCTGGCGCCGTTGCCGAGTTGGTTGCTCATGAAATATGGGTCAAAGTGAAGGATTCGTAAAGAAAATCGAAATAAACCAATTTTAATTATTTGGTAGAATATCTGAGGAAACTTCTAAGACATAATTAACTTTGACGAAATTCGGTGTTGAATCCTTATATCCACGAAAATAGGTTACACCACTGTATATTTCTTCTGCCTCAAAAGTATGAAAAGTAATTTAGGTTTGTTCAGAATCTCCTCAATATATATTTTGATACTCTATAAAAGGCCTGTCAAGAATGGGCCATTTCGACTTCTTTTTTGAAGGAAATAAGCAGTGTATTTAGTTATTTTGTTTATGAATTGCATGTTTTTTTGCGAATCAAAGTTAAGAATCAGGTTTGGTTGTTATTTACCTTCATTCTATAACAAGTGAGAAATTTAGCTATGATTTCATGTTTGTATGATTGCATACAAGCCAGTATATCTGAATAAGTATTAACATGGTAACATATGATATAAAATAATGAGGGATATATATTTTTTTTATACTAGACCTGTTGTTTTTGAATCTGACTGGTTCACTCCACTCCACTTGCCATCTATGATCTAATGAAATTATAATGCAACACCTAGGCTGTAATGAAATTAAACCAATCAAATGTTTTTTATTAAAAAATAAATTGCAACTGTATTTAAACTTTAACTTTCCAGCCAAACTTTGGCTGTAATATATTTATAGTAAGCATATATATGAAAAACTTTTGACTTAAATGGACATGATTTGAAGAAGAATTCTGTCAGATCATGGATTGGTGAGTAGAAATTTATAATCTCGGTTTTTCTCTTTGCCAGATTAGTTGTTTTTGAGTTACTATAATTTTATAAGACTAAACCAGTGTCTTTATTAAAACTGTTTTTAAAAGTTTATATTGTCTTAAGGGATATACAGGATAATTGGAAACAACAAGTTTAGTAGAAATCTTTCAAGATTGTGCCTTCAAGAGTGTTTACAAGCTATAAATTAAATGTGTTTTCAAGAACAAGGGCAATAGCTCATTCTAATTATTTTTCGATTTTTAAAATCTTTCAATAGGGTTCATCCTTGGTTGATTACAAACACTCACACCAAGTTTCATCAAAATCTGTCAAGAATTGTGCCTTCTAGAGTGTTTACGAGCAATTTTGGACGGATGGACTAACGGTCATTGGTGATGCCAATATATGCTCAACATTTTATGTGGGCATATGAAAATGAGACAGATAGATATGGATGTAAGTGTATGGACAAAATTACAGATCATGAATTTGTATATATTCACATTATCATTTTGTTTTATATTTTCATTGTTTATATTTATATGTATGGTTGAATTATTTATGAATTGGGAAACATTTTTTGTAGTTTACTGTTGTTTTTCTTAGTAACATGAAAAGAAGCTGACCCGGCTTCCCTCCTTAATATCTTCTACAACCTTCCTAACAACATCTATTACCACCCGTCTCCTACATCTCCAAAGTTAAGCAACCTCCCCTATTACTAGTCCAACAACATCACCTACTACCAGCCTTACAACATCTCCTTCGACCAGTTCAACAACATCCTCTATTACTAGTCCAAGAACATCACCAACTACCAGTCTTACAACATCTCCTACTACCAATATACTGCTACCCCATAACACCAATCCAGCAACCTCACCTTCTCTAAATGCTAGTCCTACAACATCACAAGTTCTCTAAATGCTAGTCCTACAACATCACAAGCTCTTTAAATGTTAGTCCTACAGCATCACCAGCTCTCTAAATGCTAGTCCTACAACATCACTAGCTCTCTAAATGTAAGTCCTACAACATCACCAACTCTCTATATGCAAGTCCTACAACATCACCAGCTCTCTAAATGCAAGTCCTACAACATCACTAGCTCTCTAAATGTAAGTCCTACAACATCACCAGCTCTCTAAATGCTCGTCCTACAATATCATCAGCTCTCTGAATGCTCGTCCTACAACATCACCAGCTCTCTAAATGCAAGTCCTACAACATTACCAGCTCTCTAAATGCTAGTCCTTCTAATGCTCGTCCTACAACATAACCAGCCTCTAATGTCCTACAACATCACCAGCTCTCTAAATGCAAGTCCTACAACATCACTAGCTCTCTATATGCAAGTCCTACAACATCACCAGCTCTCTAAATGCTCGTCCTACAATATCATCAGCTCTCTGAATGCTCGTCCTACAACATCACCAGCTCTCTAAATGCAAGTCCTGCAACATTACCAGCTCTCTAAATGCAAGTCCTACAACATCACCAGCTCTCTAAATGCTTGTCCTACCACATCAACTGCTACATAAAAGGGAAAAAATGTTATGAAGCTGGTTTTTTATAGGCCCACATGAAATTAGATATCTATTTAAAATCAAAGCTGCCAGTTGGCGAATGTTACCTTGTCTGGCAAGCTATCTTCCAATATATTTTAGGATAGCCTATCAGAGGATTTCTTTTGGACACCAGTAATGACAAACTTTACCAATACCAGAAGTTGTGAAAATATGTTTTATACGTCCACATCTCTCTATTACTTCATATAATTTGCTTGTAAACGCTCTAAATACTAGATTTTTTGATGGAATCAAATGAAATTCGGTATGTGTATACATATTCATAAAACGAAGATCAAGTTCGAATTTAAGCTATTTTTTGACCATTAGAAGCAGAGTTATTGCCCTTGCCCCAAAATCTTGAATATTTACCATCCGCATGCCGTGGTGGGCGTGTATGGCTGTGGTCCACTATATTTTAAAAAAAGATAATTGTGTTTTAAGATACTTCTGGCGACTATCATTGATCATTGAATATCTTATTTTGAATATTTTAATTTTCACGATAAGAACGTGTCCACCCGAAGAAATATTCATAAATGAAT